TGTTGACGCTGTAAAAAATAAGCTTCGTGTGGATTTTAGCGGCTTGCAAGAAGAGTTTAAAGAGCTCAACTCTGGTCTGCAGAAAGTTATGGATGATGAAGAATATATGAAAGATCAAAAAGACTGGTTCAGACTGAAGCATGATGATATGAATGACTTCTTTTGGCGTTGTGAAGGATGGATGAAAGATGTGTTGAATCGAGCCGAGCAGGCAGAGGAGTGTGACAAACAGATAACACCTGCAGATAGCAGGTCTGCGACATCTAGGCGGACAAGCAGACACAAAAGTAGTTCCTCTTCACAATGTGGAAGTTCAGTCTCATCATCTTCATCAGTGAGATTAAAAGCAGAATTAGAACGAGCTGCTTTAAAGGCAAAGGCTGCTGCTTTACAGGAAAAGCTAGAACTTGAAAAGGAAGAAGCACAGTGGCACGCAGAGCAAAATTTCAAGAAGATTCAATTGGAGGCTCAAGAAAAGCAACGAGAAGCAGAGTTTGAAGCTCAGCAAAAGATTTTTGAAGCTGCCTTAAGGGCAAGGAAAGAAAGACATGCATTGCAAACAGCATTAGCAGAATCCAATGCTAAAATGGAGATTTTGCAGAAATACGAAAATGTTCAAGAAGACAACAGCATTTTTCAGGCTGATCAAAAAGATGGTGAAGAAGATATAAAAACTATATTGCAGTTACCCTCACAGAACACATTAAAATCAGCCAGCTTTAAACACACTGCTCCAGCTGCACATGTTCAAATGGCTACATCTGCACCAGAAGTTGAACCTAGAGATCAGCATGGGCCAGTACTGGACGGGCTTTGCCAAGCTATCTCACAACAAGGCCATGTCACAGAGTACTTGGTGAAGAACCATAAGGCATCACTTCTTCCACATCTCACTATACCAGTATTTAACGGAGAACCGTTGGAATACAGATCTTTTATTGGAGCCATCGAACATGGAATTGAGAGTCGCACCGAGAATGATCGTGATCGACTTCAGTTTTTGCTGCAATACACAAGTGGACAACCACACGAGTTGGTTAAGAGCTGCATTCATATGGAACCTTCAACAGGATATGCTAAAGCTAAACAGATGTTAAAGGAGTTCTTTGGAGATGACTTCAAGATTTCAGAGGCCTACATTAAAGAGGCTTTAGATTGG